AGTGGTGTAATCCCTTGAGATTTTAAGGTTCATATACATATCCCTAAAATGCAAAGCACTTGAAGTCGAATAAAAAAGTGCATGGTTAAAAAAAATGTATCCAATCCTTTTACTTTTTATACCCGTGACCCAAACTAATCGTGTCTATCATACAAATTGTTTTACTGATGCAGTCAGTGGCGTCGCTGGGACATCTAAACATGTGTGTCCTTTCATGAAAATTTTACGAGAAATTTAACTCGCAAAGCTTTGCAGCAGGGAGGATTTTTTCGGCTGACTTAATTGCAACTAAGCGCCGATACATCGGTGGATGTTTTTTATTAGCCGGATCGAATGACGACGACACTACGTCACGGTTGTGTTTAAGGGCGATTATTTACTTAAGCACGGAATCGGCCCCATCGCTATTAATTGACTTTTACAAAGTCGCTGAACAGCAGCCGGCTGCCGGACGGCAGTATCTTAATTAATGGAGGCTAATATGGCACGTCACTGGGCTAAAGCGGCATGGGTGGCTGAAAACAATGTCCGGCTACATTTTATATTAACCGCAATGTGTGTTTGGTGGTGCCTTAAAGCCTCAGGCGTATTCCCGAGAATCCACGAACCGAATACAAAATTGAGGTAATTGATAATTTTATTTACTCTACATTAACCATAATTTAATTTCTTAATTGTTAATTTCAACAGTGAGGCCATTTCCGCAACTTTTATATCGCCCGCAAAAAAATCGTCTCCCGGGCTGAAAGCCGATCGTGCCGCGCATAGACTAGCGAAGTCGTCAACTTAACCAAAATTAACGCAAACTTGATGTGCATTTTAAATACTTTGTCAAACGAACGATTTGGTGTACGAAATTGTGAAAACTCGTTACCGTGAGCTACAGTCTTTTGGACCTCATCAGTGCCGGGTAGCCACGTGGTGTAAATTCGCAACCTCCATTATATTCATTTTACACCCTGTACCTACACGCTACTTCTACAGCTAGACCCAATGATCCACTATATCAAAAATAATGTTCTTGCTTCTATTATAAAATGATGTAGCTTCGGGCTTATAACATATCCCACTTCTGAATAACTCTCCTCATTTTATGAAACTTTTATATTACATGCAATCTTAAAAGAGATTACATTGCCGTTTTTATAATTTCTTTTTGATCTACCTACGAAAAATAAACGACAATATCCTAATAATTTCATCTTTGAGATAAAATAATATTTCTTAATTAAGCTTAAAATTCTTCGACTAATTAAATTCGGCTGTTTATAAATCAAATACAGATACCTTAACAATTAAACACTAAGATCTGTTTAATCCATTTATGAAACAAAGGGAAATAAAAATAAAGCCAACAAAAGATAATAAGTTTTTGCTTCGTTGCTTTTATGCTTCATTCTCCCAAGCATATTAGCAATACATTTTTTGAAGAAGCATTTTAAGTGTGGAAAAATAATTTTTTTATTTATTTTTTAATTTTTTTAAAATGCAATTTAAATTATTATTGCATAACTACCCTAAACTTAAAAATAAACAATTAATAAGCACTTGATTGGTTATGTGTTCAAAAATCAATTTGTAACACCAATAATTTTCAATCGCTTAAAATTGAATAAAACGCTTCAAATGATTTTTATAACGACCGCACTTGTAACTCATGAAAATACCATTTTTTTTTATTTTATTTGTTGTCACTTTAAAAGCAAAGCTACACATATGAAGGAGCTGTGAGGTGTAAAATCCTCGTACACGTTCAAATCATATATCGCATACGATTTCTTATAAAATATTGCTATGTATACGTCAATTGTGCGATTTTCTTGAAAATCAACGTTTTGTAAATATTGGCAATATATTTTTATATATGGGATACAGCATCAATATTAACTGTTCAGCGGTGTATACACATTTCTCATTTTTAAACACACGAAACAGAGACAATAAAATAATAAATAAATAATCACAACCATTGGTTAACATGCACTTGTATATTGATTATGTGTGTAAGATATTAAAAAGTTAAGCAAACAAATACTTAAACATTAATGTCTGCTTTAAGTAAAACTTAACGTAGAGAGATGGTAAACAGTTTGACAATTTGCTATCGTAAGCGGACTGTAAAATTGGCCGAGATGTTGACATTTACAAAACATCACGAACTTAAATAAGTTGATTACTGCATCTAGGGCACGTAAGGCCTTTAAGGAACTTCGTCGATAGTGTGAGAATTAAATCACAATCAAATCCTTACTGACTTCGTATAATTTACTTCTAATGATAAAAAAATGTTGTGACAAACTACATTATTTAGGGTTTAATCATTTTAAATTTGTTGTAAATATCGAAAATCTTACAAATAACTTTTTAATCCTGCTACGTAACTACAAGAACTTTTATATCTGGAAATATTTACACATGGTAAAATTCCATCTTTTGTTGTGAAAGGTTCGACATAACTTGTAATCGTATATTTCTGGTATTAAATAAAGTTTAGTTTGTAAATTAGAAGCTAGAAAGCAGCACTCTAACTTGGTAAAGCTTGTATTGATTTTTTTAAAGCTACATCTCTCATAAAGTACCTAGAAAAGTCAAAATTTGTTTGAAATAACTCTAGCTTTACATTCTAGTTCTCCTACTTACTCGTAGATGTCGCTGGTTGCAACCCAAATCACATACTTCCACACAGTATATGGAAGTATGTGACCCAAATTGCTTATCATACGCTTTTTTACGTTATCTGATATCTATATCTCGTTTAATTATCTGTTAGTCTTTATACATTGTGATTTATTAATTTTACAAAAAAACTATACATAAAAAAACTACTTAGACTTGATCACCAAGATTTTCGAACCCTCGGTTTATTATTTGCTTAGTTTTTTCTTCTAAGGGATATTGCCACACATACACAAACTTGTGTACTGGGTTGCATACCTGTTTCTGCTCACAGTGTTTTTCTTAAGTTTTCTATTTAGAAAAGTAATTAATGCTTTGATATTGACGATTTGTACACTGACTTTTTCTTTAATTTTTATGCCAATTTTTGTTTATATAAATACAGCAGTGGCGAAACAACACAATGGCATTTAAAGACCTTACTAATTAATTTTTTTCTATTTTTTTCAGGATTGTCCTGATATTGATTTGGACCCGTGGTCGCCATCCTGCAGAAACTAGACGAGAATAAAAAGTTTAATTTATTTATAAAGTGTTATATTATTTGAAATGTTTTAATAAACGTTTTTAAAACACTCTTTTGGTTTTATTTTTTCCCTCATTTACTTTACAAAATGGAAATCTGGCAACGTTAAAAATAGCGAACGTTGTTAATCTGCACGTCGCATCTGGCGGTTTTTATTAATTAAAAATTTTCATTTTTTGCCATTTTGAAACGTTCTCTGATTTGAAGCAAAGTTGCAAATATTTAGATCAATTTGTTAAAATTTCCTTAAATTAATAAAATATAGTCGGTATAAAAGATTTCTGTAATATAAAAATTTATATAAAAAAGTTATCTGTAATTCGAGCGTTTTGCTACCGACTAATAGATGGCGCTATGCACCGCTATTATTTTTATATCTTGACTCTTCACAACACCAAACTACTATTATTTTTATATCACACATTAAGAATGTCAAATTGAGCTAGCTAAAACAGTCTTAAAGAATGTTAGGTTAGGATTTTAGAAGTTGGATAGTAGTGCGTCGGATGGCTCCGGCCACCCCACTGCCCACCCCTCCGTCGATGTCTTACTTTTATAGGTGAAGCCACCTAGCGGCGAAACTTAAAACTAACATTTCAAAAGCGCCCCCTGGCGGACAAAATACGAACTACAGTTAATTTTGTGCGATGGTGGCGCCACCCTTGAAGCGGTGGCAAAAAGTGGAACTAATATTTTACGAAAATGTGATAAAAAATTGTTTGATAAAGTTTTCTGTAAATTCAAAGTTTCGCTACCGGATAACAGATGGCGCTGTTCACCGCTAATATTTTTATATCTTGACTCTTCACAACACCAAACTACTAATATTTTTATATCACACATTAAGAATGTCAAATTAAGCTAGCTAAAACAGTCTTAAAGAATGTTAGGTTAGGATTTTAAAAGTTGGATAGTAGTGCGTCGGATGGCTCCGGCCACCCCAATGCCCACCCCTCCGTCGATGTCTTACTTTTATAGGTGAAGCCACCTAGCGGTGAAACTTGGAACTAACATTTCAAAAGCGCCCTCTGACGGACAAAATATGAACTACAGTTTACCTTGCGCGATGGTGGCGCCCCCCTTGTAGTGGTGGCGAAAAGTGGTACTAAAATTTTAATTTTGAGCGAGCGATGGTGGCGCCCCTCTCTTGGAGTGGTGGCGAAAAGTGAAACTACATTTGTAACTTTCGCCTGTCCGATGACGGCGTTTTATCCTGCCTGATTTTCATTTGGTATTGTAGATGAGGGAAAATTTGAAATTTTATATACTTACCGTATATTTACAAAAAATTTTGTAAGACAGTACAAGGCGGGAAAATAATTCAAGTCGAGAGATTATAATATTTTATTAATATTTACATACACACATTTGCACATTCTAACATCTATAGTAAATAGATAATATTGAAATTTGTTTATAGTTTTATATGATATGTACACTAAGTTGAAAACATCACATTTTGGGATACTATAGTATAATTACTGAGTGAAAACAGGATTTGTTTAGCTAGACACTTTCAAACTCAAGGAAAGTTAAAACGAAATTGGCAAATTTACGTTCCACAGAAAATATATCGCACTGCATTATTTTCTATAGAAAGTATTGACAAATTTCAGGAATTTATTTCACATAATAATTATACTATATTATAGGCAGCAAAAGTCCCGATTTATTAAGTATTCATTAAATATAATAGAATATTTACCGAAAATAGTAAATACGAATGGAATATGGCATACGATTGCCCATAAAAGCTATAGGTGTATATAAAAGCAAGCTTTAAACAACAAATGCATAATTAGACAGTTGTAACAGATAATAGACCTACCATTTTGGTGCCGGGGGTGGGAACCTTGGGACCGTGGACCAACATGTCCTGAACGGTTGCGAAATTCTCGTAACCCTCCTTGTGAACCCTCTTAGTCTTGTGTTTCTTCGCAGTATTGTCAATGTTGTTGGCAGCCTTCTTCGAAGAGAACGAGTGCGTCTTTTCTATCGGCCTTAAAACAATATCATTGTTTTCATCCACGTTCCTCGACGCCAGCAGGATTTCCTGCCTTTGCTTTCTCTCTTTGGATTTTTCTAGGTGCTTCTTGCGCTCTTCCTTCGTCCAATACCTACCAATCTACAAAACATAATAACCCAACCATAATGTTTACCAATCGTTTATCATTATTTTACCTTTAATTCAGATATAGTATCATCTTCAGTGGTCAATCCAGCTCTCTCCTCGGATATTCTTATAGCTCTATTTTTCAATATCCTATTTCTAACAGGTCTTCTGGCTATGTATCTAGTACCATCAGGTCTCCTCTTCACCTTCCATTCCATTCTAGATTCCAGGGTAGCGCTTTCTGCTTGCGTGGTATAACTCTGTAACGATTCATTTGAAAAATACACAACAACAACAATAAAGATCAATATCTACCTGAGAGCCACTAACAAACTGGTACTGGCTTAAACTTGGCGAGGTAAAACTCGTGGTGGGTTTAGCGGCAACTTCATTACCCTGCTGCTGGACCAAAGCCTGCCTGAACAACTGTTGCTGCAGCAACATGGTCTGTTGCAAATTGGCCACGTTCGTGTACATGGTATCGGACAAAATGTGACTCACTCCCGATCTGGTCGTCGGCGAAGAAGGAGACGCTAATTTGGTATTTGACTTAGATTTTTTGGTTTTCGACGACGTTTGACGCTTGCAAGCGTCGCACTCGCTCGCCTGATCCTTCACAGGATCCTCTTTTTCAGGCGGACACAAGATCAGAGTCGATCTAAGAAAATTTGCTATGTTTAATGCGCTACATTTATGACAGCACGAAAAGGTGTTTCGAGAGAAATCTAGAGCTTAAATGAGTGGACAACTAAAAGATTTTGGAGAAATGATTTTATGGAATTTTGGCTTAAGCCACAGAAACTGCACAAGGAATCAAAAAGGAAATACAGAAAGAAATGAATGGAAGAAGCAGTAGATTGGATTTCCTCAAAACACCTTATAGCATGAAAAGGTGCTTCGAAAGAAATCTAGTCCTTAAATAGTGGACAACGAAAAACAGTGAGAAGAACAATTAATGAAGAACTCCAAGAACATGGTTTAACACGGACAGACAAAAATGTAAAGATTTTGGAGAAACGATGTTATGGAATTTTGGCTTAAGCCACAGAAACTGTCCCAGGAATCAAGAAAGAAAGAACGAAAGGAAAAAAGGAAGAAAGAAAAAATAAAGAAATAAATGAATGGAAGAAGAAGTAAATTTGATTTCCTCAAAACACCTTACAGCATGAAAAGGTGTTTAAAGAGAAATCTAGTGCTTAAATGAGTGGTCAACTAAAAAAAATTAGGTAAATAACACATGGAGAAGAACAATTAATGAAGAAGTCCAAGAAAATGGTTTAACACGGACATATTATGGAATTTTGTCTTAAGCCACAGAATCACCACAGGAATCAAGAAAGAAAGAAGAAAAGAAAGAGAGAAAGAAAGAAGCAGTAGATTGGATTTCCTCGAAACACCCTGCAGATTTGGGTAAAAAATACATACCTGTATATGTCTTTTTGCTTGGAATCCTGGCTACAAGCTAGTTCAAAAGTTAAAGGGTTACTGTTACAGGATCCCCCTGTGTTATAAGCACTTGAGCTATTTTCATGTTCCTCACCACTGCTGTTGCTCTTCGAAGATTTGCTCCTCTGTTTCTTGTTATCCTTCGAGGTTGGGTCCTTTTGCGCGGTCCAAGCGTCGTCTTGGTGAGCTTTGAGCCATTGCTCGATCATATTATCGTCGCCGGCCTCGTAGGGACAAGAATAAATCGGCTCTAGCTCGGAATCGACCGACTCCGGTATGGTTTCGTAAATGTGCTCGGTATCGGAGTCGAGAGGAGCCGGTATGTGCGGCAGCTGAGGCGGTTTCCTTTTATCCAGCTTCACCAGCTGTATGTTCTGCATTCTGAAATCCAGCTCTGATATCTCGTGGTTTATCGAGTCCATTTTCGAACGGACCAGGGAGTTGGTGAGGTTTAACTTCTCTTGGTTGAAGTGCGCCGGAATTTTCGGAGCCGGCGAGTCCGTCTGTTGCTGCTGTTGCTGCTGATGAACTAGTTGCTCTATTATGCTATTCTGGTATGCCGCGCTACGTCCTCCCGGAGATATAGCATCTATCGGTTCTGCATCCAAATACTCTTCACTCTAAAATAAAACGAACGTTAAAGTTCCGAAGAATTGTTAATTACTGCTAGAAATGGCCCTTCGGGTATATAATCTTTCCATACTGTGGTATCGGTAAATTAAGCATTTATTCGAAAACGGAACAGTTAGCAAAACAACGTACGCGCTACGAAGTGGGACTAGTGCGGGATAGATGGCGCCACCTTGGATTAACCGGTTTAAAATTAAATTTATATTTCCGGCATAATCCTATCTATCATAACACTAACCACATTTCATCTGCATAGATTGTGTCTAAACAAGCGAGCGCGGTTTCTAATAGATTTAGGAGTAAGCGACGTGCACTCACCCTTGTGTAACATCTGCTAACCAATAGCGTTACGGCTTTTCTATTTTCCGCGAATAGCGACTCAGTCTCTTCTTTGTTTGCCACATCCTTACCATTTACCTAAATTTAACAATTAAGCTTAAGATTTATCAAATTAGCCGGCCTACAAAGTAGTTAAATTAAATTTAAGTTTCAGTTCCAAATAATACGATAAAGACGATTAAATAAAAGGACATTGATGTTACCTGTAAAATTTGATCGCCCTGTCGTAGCCTGCCGTCTCTGTCGGCGACGCTTTGGGGCGCGATGTCCCTGATGTAGACCTCAGTGCAAGTGTCGACCTCAGATCCTGAGCTGTAGCACACGGTGAGGCCCAATTTTTCGTCGCTGCTGCATTTTCTTAAGGTGACTTCCTGCAAAACGCAACGACATTATTTAATTAAACAACATCTGTAATAGCTAGGCGACGCGTCGCATGGCAGCAGTGAGCAAAGTTTAACATAATGCGACATAAAATAGAGCCTAAGATCTAATGGGTCTTTCCTTGTCGCAATTTGTAAAATAGTCGCGCATAAACATCATTTCCACCTTCCTTCCATGCTTTCCATGATGTTTAACTACGCCATTGTCTTTTGCTTGCTCTCTAAATTACGTACTAACATACAAGTTTGTGTAATCAAAATTTCAACAGCGCTCTAATTCACTATTCATTTCGCCCAAGCAAACGTCACACGGTTATGCCGGCTGCCGGGTGTCGGCCAAAACGACACTAGTCATCATCGTCGTTTTTTCGTGGAACGCTGCTCGTCAAGTGTAGTGAGTTTAATTCTTAGTAGAGAGGTGACAATCAAACGAAAAGCTTTCAACAATATAGAAAACCACTAGCAAATAGGAAACAATTAAAAGGGGAACGGAGTCTCTTTTAATCTAAACTGTGCAATTACTTAGTTTTTTTTATCTAAAAATGCTGCCACCGGGGCATAACAAAACTTGAACCATCATTTTAAATTAAATCCAGATAGTTTTTAGTGTAACATGAAAACAACTTCCAAATGCAAATTAGATTCCAAAAACAGACAATCGCAAATTGAATAAATGCAGGTAATAGATGAAAAATTTGCGTAACCTTTAACCTTTCATACATTGTTATATGGCGGAGATTAAAAGTTCTGCTAATTGTTTATCTAAATGTATACTTACCTAAAAACTATGAGTATTTATTTTTGTACATCTAATTTTGTTCAATAAAATTCTTTACTACAAAAATCATATCTTTTTCTACTAAAACGTAAATTTTGACAAGTTGTGGCTTTATGGCGTTTTAGTCACGGGCTGAAGTTAATTGATAGTTGTCAATTGTCTTATAATCGTTAAAATAAAATGCCCTTCTTGTAAAATAATACTAAATGTAAAAATTATTTTATTATCTAAATACAAAAAAATATAGAAGTATTAAATATTTTCTCAAGGCCAATATGTAAAAAACTGCTCTTATGTCAGATTCAACCATTTTCAAGGAATACATTTTGATTTACACATAAAAATTTGACATTTGATATTCCCAAGTTGTTTTATAGATGTCGCTATATACAAATATTTAATTTAAATCATTTTAAATCATATTTGTCGTAGAAAAAGTACGTTTATAAACTTTTCTAGAACTCATTTAATTAAACACTCGCTCAAGCTCGCTATTGCCTAAATTCGTGACTAAAATGGCGTTTATTAAACTTGATACATAATATACTATTATCTATGAAAATATTAAAATGGTGTTATTCATTAACGTGTTTTTAATGTATTTTGCGAATAATTACAAGCTTATTATTAATTTGCTTCGTAAAAAATAAAAATTCTCTTTAAAATATGTAAAAAAAAATAATTATAATATAAATGAAAATTAAATTGAAAAAAACGAAAACACGTTAAATAACTTTCAAGATTTAAACAACCACAAAAATTAATTAGGATTTGTAGATGTTTAATACGTCGAGAGAAAAATTTAAAGTTAACTTTTGTGTGTGTATAAATATTAGAATTCCAGCGATGGAAATAGTAAATAATACTTATGTACCGTATTTGCTCAAAAGTGACTACCGAATGCGTAAATATTTGTACATCTTGTCCCAATTTGATTTTTAGTTGTATTTCGACGATATTTTATTTTTCTTTATAGACAATTTCTAAAAATATCTACATGTTGCCGTTATCAATAATTAGCATACTTTAAGGAGTCCTTGACGGAAAAAGTAGGCACATAATGACACAGCTAATTACGGAGTGAACTAGAATTTTTCGCTTTGCAATATCGGGGAATAAATTCTCAAGTGGCAGCGATACAATAAAAATATGAGGACTGAAAGAAAGAACGTTACAGGACGAATATATAAATTAAGTTAAAAGACTCTTCAAGTGGATATTAAAGTTGCCGTTAATTAGATGAAATGAAAGGCCACGGTGGTTTCTTTATTTTCTTCGTCAAACGAAATTTTGATTTTGATCGGCCGAAGTCGAAAATAATTGGAATACTTATGTTCAATCGAAAAAAGACGCTCAAATTTCCATAAAAGCGAGAAAGGGGCTTTTTTCAAATCCAACCTTGATTTATTTTTCGTATTATGTAGACCACTTGATTTACGATGTTTCGCCGCCCGTCTCCTCTCCAATGTCATCAGCTCTGACGCCCGCCCCCTCTTTATTCCAGTTATGCCACGTACTCATTATCATCATCACCTACTACAAACCACCCCCACACCCTCTCACCTCAACCCCTAGGCGCACGGCTGCGGTGTTAATTCAAAAATTAATTAACATCGCTCCCACACCGGATGGTGCATTTTTTAACCAAACTCTATAATCGCTCAATATATAATGCCACCACATTTTTAAATATACAGCAAAATCGAATAGATTCGATAATACATACATGGAGAGTGTTCCAAAAAAATCGTCTTTTGGTATTTTTAGTTGCGCATCTATTTCAATAAAACACCCTGTACAAAAAGTTTTTTTTAATGCGATACTATATATTAACGAATTTATTTCATACTAAATGTATATTTAATTAACAAAAAAAAAATAAAACCACAATAATAATTAAAAACATAAATATTAAAAAAATCCGACACAAAATTAAAATTGACTTCAAACTCGCGAAATGCCCTGTTTAATTTAAAAATTAATTAGCAGCCCTCTGGCTTATTTTCGAACTGTTTAATGGGTAAATGTTTAATATTATAAACATGTTTGAATATATAAACAGAGCAATACACAGCAGACACTTGACAATTAGTATGAGTGAAATCACATCAAAGATATGACTTAACAAACATGTTTAACTCGATTCAACACCGTAATTACCCGCCCCGAATTTACTATATGTGCTATGTATGTTACTTCATATTAACACGATTAATTACTATATTTGACACGTTATCTACGCACTAAATTTTAATCGACTGCTTCTGAAAATCCAATATAAAAGCAGTTTTTCTCAGTGAAAGTAAAGAAAATGTTTTATTGGTGTTCCACGGTCTCCACCCAAAATTAAGTTAAATCTAGTTTGCTTCCGGCAAAATTAATTATTATATCTATAGATATGACTTACAAGATACTTAAAATAAAATGTCGCCTCTGAATATTGTTACTCATAATATGACTGTGTCAAAATAACTTTTTTTTCGATTAAATATGTCGAAAAAGTTTCTTTAATATGAAAAAAAAATCTCCGTAAGTTTGAGCTCAATATCTCTAAAATTGAGCTGGCCTTTCCCATTTAAAATACATGGGAACATTTTTTTTAGCTTTAGAATAACTACATGAATACAAAATTGTCCCTATGCATTTTTTCTCTAAACGTATCAGAAACAAAGTTACATAGCGCTGGTAAATTTAAAAGGTTATTTTTTAGTTCATACTTTACAATAATTTTAACGATTGTGTATAACTTCAGCCCGTGACTAAAAACCAACATGTATGATAATGTACGTTTTAAAGGTGGAAGTAGAAAAATACACATAAATTTGTAATTAATATGGTCGATAGACGTTTGCAACGAGGATTGTATTTCAGCAGGGAAACTTCTTTTTAATAATTCCACTCAGACATCGCGTTATACTTTAATCAGAACGCATCCGTGGATATGACAACGCATGACTTTTATTTTTTTGACGGCGCACACAGCAAGCATTCATTCTCTAGACTTTCGGACAAGATTGAGATTTTATTATAATATTATTGGTATTTAAATTGCCATGGGCCTTCACTTGAGTATTAACTAACCATCTATCGGTAGTTTGAAATCATATTTAGATTATCGCGAATAGCGGACCCTCAAGGGAAATCAAATAGTACCCTTACCGATATATACAGGGTTATCATAAACACGGTTTTATTTGGGTCTACAACTTTCGATTGCTCCAAGTTCAAAAAGTTTTTGAGGTATAGATTAGTGATGCAAAGAGGTCATTTAGACAATGTGCTTCTGCTTCCGCAATTGCGGAAGTTCTGCACACTTTTTACATCATACATTAAGCTTAGCGAAACTAGAAATTGGTAATAAAAGTATTTATACTTCCGCATCCGCATCTTTTTCCGATTTTGTTATACTTCCGCATCCGCATCTTTTTCCGATTTTGATTTTGTTTTAAGAAAATCAAAATCGGAATCGTTAAAACAAAATCAAAATCGGAAAAAGATGCGGATGCGGAAGTATAACAAAATTAAAATCGGAAAAAGATGCGGAAGCGGAAGTATAAATACTTTCATTGCCAATTTCTAGTTTCGATAAGCTTGATGTATGATGTAAAAAGTGTGCAGAACTTCCGCAATTGCGGAAGCATGCAGAAGCACATCGCATAAAACGAGACACCATAATTGGGACTTACCTCTAAGTCTATGTCGTGTGTCAGGCAATCCAGAGAGTTATCCTCGAGCCAGGCGTATCCGGAGATTTCGGTTTGGCAAGCGATCGAAGAGGTTTTCGATGAGGAACTTTTGCTCGTTTCGACCGGCGATTCGGCTATTCTTCGTTTCACCTCTACCACGATGGGTTCCTGCGCTGTCAAAAACGCTCTGACAGCGTCCTCGTGAGGGAAACTGCTTACGTCAGTCCCATTAACCTGCAAATAAAATTTGGATTATGAGCGACAGAAAAGTGAAATCATTTCGCACCTTTTTTGCAGACCGGGTGGAATTATTTCAAACGAGAAATGTGCACCATACCATTTTAGTAGGTAATATGCGCGCTTTGAGTGAGATTTTTCAAAACAAGTCAATAACCTTGTGGTTAGTTTTATTTGCTATGCAAAACGTGGTACGTTCAGTTGTGTTGTTTGAAATAGTGCCGCCTGTCTGCTCATGACAAATGTTTAAATAATAACTGATAAAAACGGTCTCGTTATTAATTTATTTCATTTCACTATTTGTTTATTGTTTCAATTAACTATTACAAGGCTGCATTATGTTCTATCGATGTATCGGCATTTTTTGTCATGTTGTATTTCTAAAACTGAACAAACAATAAATTGTTTGTTTTTAATTGATAAATTAAGATAAATGTTGTCTTTGACCACAATTATTTAATAAAGCCATTACAAGATAAATTGTAAGTTATATCTTTTTAATACAGAGATGCACTTTTGAAAAATCGTAATTCTATTTAAGCGACCATTATTCATGCTTAGTTAACATAGCAGAGATAAATTATACACTAAAAAAAACTGTTTTAAAAAGTTAATCTTGCAAATTTTCTTAAAAAAAAGCAGACATATACGAAGCATAAATACGAGTACATTTCTATGATATCTGTTGTGTTTACATAGTGTATGTATACATACTACCTTTTCATTTTAATGTAACTCGCCTCTCAAGTTAATTTCTTATTTAATCTTTTTTTCTTCACACCAATAACCACTACATTTTCAATTCTAATTTTAAACAATGATTTCGGCATTTTTATTGTTTCGAGAAAACAAAGTAAATTTGTGTTTATATTTTTATGTCGTGATTGGGCCTTCTTTTAACTCATTAGTAAATACGCCAAAAAGGGGAAATGTGCATCTCATAATTTTCGGCGTTAATGAGAAAAAGAACAGGGCAGAAAAATGTTTAATTAAAAGATTCCAATTTGATATAGCAATGAGAAGTAATTTGGTTTGTATCTTGTAAAAATTTAGTAATTTTATTACACACGTAAAGAAAAAGGGAAATTCTTTAAAACTTTTTACAATTATAAAGAAAGATGTGATGAGTATTTCGTTCATTAACCAAGGCTAAGGGCCCGCAATGATTATGACCCTCAGACAGGGTGTAATATAATGGAATTTAAGTAATGAAACACGGCATCCGCTTGCTTTTTTGCGCCATTTCCTTTACCATTTTATATTTGTATCTATTTAATTCGTGACATACTGCATGCGCTTTTAAACTCTCCTATTTCAATATCTGCTATCTCCGAATAAACATTTTCAATGGAATACATTTTTATCCTTTTAATACAACAAAAAAAACACCGACCGTATAGGTTATCATTCTGATCATGTCGAATATTGGAAACCTGATTATTTTTGGACTGATATGTTTCAATCATAAATAAAATAGTATTTCTTGGGTGGCTGCTTCGCGGTTCGCTACGTATCGAGATGAGATCACAACTCATTTATAAAACTGATAACGGCGACATTGCCTCCGGCTTTCCAGGGATCGATGTAAATCTCAAATTTGATGACCTCGGACAATTTTTAAAATCTGATAGCTCCCAAACCCGCACACGTCCCGTATCCTTAAGTGATTCGATAATAAAAAGCGTCAGCCCGGAATGAAATTTTGTTAGTTTCGCACGATCAATGACAAGCATTAGTCGAGCTGACCGTGTAAGTAAACAACAATACCGCCTGATAAGGTGACCGAAGGGAACTTTCCGCAAAACTTTCCCGAAACACGATATTCCGGCCAGATCGCGTGAATCATACCAAACATGCTTTAAGAAAGAATTTTTAAAATACCACGTTTAGTAAAGATTATTACCAAGTGCAGGAATTATCTGACCAGGACACGGACAATGACAATAATGAACAAGACGAAGACCTCGACTAGGAAACTACACTCCTGCAGCGAAATAACAACTCCCCAACTCCAAATAGTAATCCCAAATGTCTCTCCTCCTCTATACCCTACTGGGCGTATAGCATCGGCTCGGCGAATCCGAGAATGGCTATTAAAACTATTCGCATGTCGCTCTCGAGCCCCAAATATGGGACAGTACGGAACGCAATGAACATTCGCACCCAGCAAACACAGGTGAAGCCGTGCAGTTGCTGGGGGCGAACAAAAATCGGCGTAAGTAAACATCGGTGATGAGGCAATGGGGCTGGTTATACGTCTCTTATCTCATACTCATACTCAACATGTTTAGTAAAGATTATGACGGAATTGTGCTAAGGCACTAACCAAGCTCTGGATAGTGGATAGAATTTCAAATTAAAATTGAGTAATAATAAGATAATGTGTTTCCAATGTTATTTCGGCAGTTGCGAGTGTAAAAACATAAAATAAGAAAAAACCGTTTAGGAACAAAGGACTTAATAAATCAAAGTGAAGTAACAACACCTTTTGCGAGCGAGACGAGCTCCCAATATCCCGTCAGGATAACCCAACGTACAGTTCCGGGTGAGTTTAAGGATGACCGTCTATCCATTAGCAATGGAAAGCTTAGAGTTCTCTCTTTCTGCATGTATCAAATTTATTCCTTTTCTGTTTTACATCAGCCATTTGGTAGGGATACTGGAATTAATGGCTTCGACAGTGGCAGTAGGTCTTTTAAGGATAAGGCAAAAAATTGTGTTCGTTTAGTTTTTTGTTGAATTCTGTTTCTTTTTATTATTTTTAATTAAAAAGCAGCTTTATGAGGATAAGCTTTTAAGATAAAAACAATGAATAAGCGTATGTGTAGGCATTGCATTAAAAATTGCTGTCATTTCATAATTAATGGACATATTAAAGAATAAACTTGGCAAATCCATGTTCATTAAGGGACATGTAATAAAAATACATTAATATTCCGCTCGGTTTCAAGCCTGAACTCCATTCATTCAATCGTATAAATATTAAATTAAATAGTCTTTTTTAACGAATTAGTAGTAGCATAAAGCTGCCTTATATCCGAAAACTTCAACTCTTTTTGCTGCTTTTAAATTGGTCGTCTTTTTAATTTTTCAGGAATAGTTTTACTTGAAATCAATATTTTACACTTGCTTGCAAAATACAGTAGTTCTAGTAGTTTTAGCACGCCAATGGTTCGAGTTCGGGTTTGTTGACAAAAAAGGTCCTAAATTACCAAGCGGCCGTCCAATGGGAATAAAATTATGTGTTGAAAATTGATATCCCCTGAAATAAAGCGTTACCCGCTTAAATTACCTTATTCGTCGTTGACAATTATTAATTAGAACATCTCGACCTGTTTAATATTTATTAACTGGAGCCACGAAGAGTTTAATAAACATCACGTTAAAAATCTTTTCTCCTAATTATATCGTAATTTGTTTAATTATCTCAACAAGTTTCCTAATAATGAACCTTAAAGGCTTTCGAGGGTCTGCCAAGAATGCCAGAGTTGTTTTCCTCGTTTTTCCAATAGAAGCTAAACTCATTTAATTGTAAACCAGCTTAAAACGAACAGACTATTGGAAAACCCCACAAAAACGAGAAAAACTTCAGTAGCTATCTTGTTTTATGCTAAACTGAAAAACTTTACAGTACCTGCTGCTGAAATTAATACAAATCGATTTCAACGTTAAATGTTTCTTAATTTCAGAGAATGGTTTTGTTGACTATTTTACATGTAAAAAATATCGAAAGCGAAGTGTTTAGTTCAGACAAAATGTGATATAATATTTAAATAAGTTTTACCTCTAAAGTTTTTACTTTACAAACTCACTTTAAAGTTATGATTGTGCCAAAATAGGTTCATAAATGCAAATAAAATTGTTTCGCATGCAGATAAGTTAGAAAAACGATTAAATACATTTATTCATTAAGTTTTTTTTGTAAATTTTAAATAATTTTAAATTTTTTGGAAAAATTTAAAAAAAATTGAAATTTATATATTTACATATACTACTGTGCGAATGTGTCTTAAATTTTTAAAATTTATGCTATTGTGCGAATGTTTTACGTTTTTTTAATGTATCTCTCTGTGCGAATTTGTCCTACCATTTTTTAAATTTATGGTACTGTGCGAATTTTTCCTACCATATTTTTAAATGTATTCCACCTTGCTAATTTATCCCACATTTTTTTAAATTATCCTAGTGTGCAAATTTTTCCCAATTTTTCTTAAATTTGTGCCATTGTGCAAATTTTTCTCAACATTTTTTAAATTTATCTCACTGTGCGAATTTGTCCTTATATTTTTTAAATTTATCCAACTGTGCAAATTTGTTTTAAATTTTTTAAATGTATGCCATTGTGCCAATTTTTCCCAATATTTTATAAAATTAATAATAATAATAATAATAATGGGTCTTTATTTTTCAATTAGTATATACAAGAAATTTATAATTAAAAAAAAACATAAATTAATAAATCCTAAATGTACATATCTAAAAGAAAAATGCCGAAGATCAGTATCGAGTACATCTCACTGTGAATTTGTCCTACTATTTTTAAATTCATGCCACTGTGCAAATTTGTCCTATTTTTTAATTTACACCAATTCGCGATTTGTCCTACCATTCTTAAAATTTTTGCATGTAAGAGCAGTATTCAATTATCCATTTGTTCGGTTTTCAATTATACGAAAAATTAATTTTATCTGCTCCTACATTGACTAGCTGTGACTTTATGGCGTTTAAGTCACGGGCTGAAGTTAGCAATAGTGGCTTTTGGGCATTTTAGTCACGGGCTGAAGTTAGTTTTATTATAAATTAGAGAAAAGTGAAGTTACTTCCGTTGACATTTGACAGATGTCAAAAGTTTAACAAATAAAATTGGATTTAAATTCTTCTTTGTGGTCGTCGTAAATAAAGTATAGTATGCAACTCGTTTTATAAACTTATCTAGACACTCGTTTTTATTAAACACTCGCTTGCAATCTTCGCTCGTGCTTAATAAAACCCGTAAC